CCCGGTCCGGTACGGGGGCAACACTGAGGGTTGCGATCCGTTGCCAGACACGGAAAAAAGACAAAAGAAAAAAAAAAAAAAAAAAAGAAAACCAGATTTTACTGGACACCTACTAGGTGCTTCACAAATGCTTCTTCGTTTAAACCATGCAAAAAGCCTCAGACAATACACAAAGCCGCTAACGACTGATAAAGAGTAACAGGCTGGTAAGGTTAGCTTGTGTGATCACAAAGCCAGTTACTGCCAGAAACAATTCAAACCAAAGACTGTCTGACCTCAAAGTCTCATGCTTCCTGCCACTGCACTGCCCAAGTCCAAGCGAATTGTAGACCTTGCCTTCAGCAGAAAGCTAGTCTGCCCCAATCGTAAATCTATGGGTCTATGGGCTCTGGTTAAAGGTCAAGGATCACTGTTTCCTCTGTCCTAAATTTTATCTACCATATTCTCCCCATACCCATAAGGACAATCCATTTCCTATCAGACTGCTCATCCTCCTGATATGTAATCAGCTACGACAGGCAATGATGACTACCTACATTTGCATACTGCTTTACAATTCATTGTGTTAAAATATGTGATATGACTTCAAAACTGTTCTATAGGTGCTGCTGGCTCCATTTTACACAAGAAAACTGAGGCTCAGAGAGGTTACATAACATGCCTACAGTCACAGGACTCAAATTCAGATGTTCTGGCTCCAAGTCTAATGTTCTACCACTTGCCCCTCACCCCTGCTCAGACTCCCACCACCCTGCCACCCAGGAAGCAGTTCCTGAAAGTGGATCTGCATCACCCTTACTGTCTCTCACCCCAATCCTATTATCCCTCGTATAAAGGCAATTTAAGGGCAGAAATACAGGAGTAGGGGGCGTGGGGTATAGAAGGGCGGGAGGAGCGGGAAGGCCAGAATTGCACTCCACTTACCTTTTCTGAATCAGTGCAAACTTGAATGGCATTGGGAATGAGGCGAGCTGTTTTTTCTTTCGTCATGGAGCAGATGTCTTTCAAACGGACTGTCAGCTGGTGTCCCCACGGGAACAGAGAATGGATAGCAAGCAAAAAGCATTAGTAGAATGTTCCTGTGGTACCAGTGCAGACAGAGGAAATCAAATCACAGTTCACATACTTCTAACTGTGGAAGGGACCACCTCAGAGATCATTTGGTTTATCCTCTTATTTCACAAAGGCCACACAGTAAGGTTGAGACTGGGACTCATCTGTAGCCAGAGGTACTTTGATTTTGGGTCCAGGGAGCTTTTCTCCTCATTTCTACAGTCTGCTAAATGGGCAGAGGCCCTGCCATTATTTGCCGCTTACAGAAACATGGAATATTGGTGCGGGATGGGACCATAAAAATCATCTAGTTAATCTTTTTCCATCTTATAAGATGAGGAAACAGAGGTAGAGAAAGGACTAGCCTAAAACCACACCACTAATTGGTTGCAAAATCCAGAATGCGTACAAGCCAGTTCTTCTGAGTCCCGAGGCCAACAATGCCTTCTATTCCACTATGCTGCCTTCTGCATCATGCCAAATTGTTTACCTGCAAGTGCCAAGAGCAAATGCTCTTCATACTTCTTCCATACCCAAGAGGGAGGGAGGGGAAGACATGGCAGAGGAGATCCCATTATTGGGACTCAGAATTGGGTATCCTTCAAGACTCAGACACATGTCTGAGTTAATTATGCAAAGGCTTGAGAAGAGCATGGAGTGAGCACAAGGAAGACAGGAGGGCAGCTTGCTTAGCCATAGCCAAGGGGACAGCCCAAGGGAGCAAGCACCAGGTCTTTACCAGAGTTTCCCAGCGGAAGATGTTGCTGTAGAAGCAGATCCAATTTTCAGAGAGGTAGAGTCGGCCCTGAAGAAGAATGTCTCTTTGGAGTGCACATGAGTAATCTGTGGTAGGACGGGGGACAAGGAAGCTCAGAAGCAGGAAGCATTTTCAGCAAACCACTGCAGAGTAGGCATGTCATCCCCCCACCAGCACTGGGGGAGCCCAACTGCCACTACTGACTAGGTGTGCAAGACACTTGGACTAGTGGCCAAGGAAGTCCCTGGCCTCTTGTGATGGGGAACATAAAGGTGGGGAAATATGTTACTGCCTAGAGGCAGAGGAATGAATGTGATGACAGAGGGAGCCAAGAAAGCTGGCAGTAGAAAAGGCCAGTAACATTCAACTAACTTCCCTCCCCCATCCACAGTTACGCCAACCCCTCCCACGCTTGGCCATCTGCAGAGATGAGTTCCAGAGACTCCTTCCAGGCTGGGCCCTCAAGACTGTCACAGATGTAGGGCTCAGCCCTGAGCCCTGACAGCGGTGGACAGGGCCCTGGACGTCCTCTCTCCCTGTTCCCAGACAGACACGCTTACATGGGTTGGCTCAGAGCCTCTAGACAAGAGCAACCAGATGCTGTCCCTGTGACTCCCATACTTCCTCCCTGTCCCCCTCCCAGGTCACCCAGCTCACCAACGATGAGGCGCTCCGTGTCTGGAAGTTGCTTAAAGAGCTTTCTGAAGTCTTCATTTCTCTGCTTGTAAGTGGGGCTTAACACCTGCATGACAACAGCCAAGGTTAGCAGGAGTGATCCAGGTTCTGTGGGGTTAGGGAGGAAGGTGCAGGAGGGGCACTTGCTTGTGGTTAAAAGGCAAATATGAGGTTGTTCTCCCACAGACCCTAAGATACTGCAAAACACTTTGTATCCAGTGTCTATCAATGAGAAAACGTCAGACATACTACGCAGGCGCCCATGACATCCCAAGAAGAGAAAGGAAGGACAGACACCTCCAGGGAGCTCGTGGTTTTGCCTTCTGCAAGCTGGCACCACCCCCAGACAGTGAGGCAGTGTCCCAAGGAACTACCCCAGCCCCTGGCAGGACCCTGGGTATGATGGTACCCAGTGCTCCTCTCAGAAGTTGTTATTATGACTAACACAGTGAGCACTTGGCTGTGTGTGAAAGACATGATTTTTAAAAAAAAAAATCATAAAACATAGTGCTAAAAAAATTATGAAACATAAAACCAGCGCTAGAATAAGCACACAGGTAGAGAATTTTAAAGCACATTTGGCACCCTAGACGGACCCAACATCCTTCCTCATCCTTACAAGATTATCTAATCCAACCCAATGAGGAAACTAAGGCCAGAGAGAAGCCCCCTTCTCAAGGTCCCCAGCTGATCAGTGGCAGATCCCTGGTCCTAGACCCACTTCCCACAGCCCACCTAGCTTTCTTGGGTGCATCAGTGCAGGCTCATATCCATAAACTGCCCTAGCAAATCCTCGTTGGAAATTCCATGAGCCAGTTAAATAGGCAGGAATCCTCTCCCTTTGAGGGCTTACAATCTTAAATTTTTTTTTTTTTTTTTTTGTCTTTTATCTTTTTCTGTGTCCGGCAACGGATCGCAACCCTCAGTGTTGCCCCCGTACCGGACCGGGGACCGGCAACGGGATCGCAACCCTTGGTGTCGCTCCCGCGCCTCGCTCAGCCAGTGAGCGGGAACCGGTCTGTATGTGGGATCCGAACCCTCGGGCGGGAGTGCCACTGCGCTTCCCAAGCAGCGCACTATCCAGTGCGCCACCTGGCCGGCCCACAATCTTAAAATTTTTAAAATTAAAATAGGGCTGGCCAGTTAGCTCACATGGTTTGAGTGCGGTGCTGATAACACCAAGGTCAAGGGTTCAAATCCCTGTACCAGCCAGCCACCCAAAAAAATTTAAATTAAAAAAAGATACATATCCATAGATGAAGGGCACCCAAGGATGATACATAAAAACAAGTGCAAAACCCAGGAAGAGTCACACATGACAACAGAGAGACACCTGCACCCCATCTGGCGACATGCTGATCTATGGACACCAGAGTGTGTAACTGAGGACAGGGTATCCTGCAGATGGTGACACATGGGTCCTGGACATTTACACTTTCTTACTTCCCCAGGAAACCACTGGCACACAGCTGTGGTGACGAGAAAGTGAGTTTTGGGCTTTTCATTTTTTAGCTTCTGTAAAGCTACATGGACCACAAGGAAGCCATGGCTGTGGCCCACCACATTTGCAACCTGCGCTGCCCAACTGTGCTACGGCCAGATGGTCTCTGTGCTGGAGAGAAGAGGAGTGGTTCAGGAAGTCAGGGAGGAAGAAAATGGCATGGCTTTGGTTTGGGGAATTTCCCAAAGAGGGAGAGAAGAGAGTGCTTCCAATCCACTTTGTCTACAGTTTATTTGAATTTTAAACTTTTGCTCTTAGCTTATTTACAAAATGAGTTGCACCTGCAATAGTAGGTGCCGTCACCTTCCCCAAAGCAATGCTGTGCTGTCACAGAGTCCCAAGCTTCCAAAATCACCTGCCCTATATTTGAACCAAGCATCAGGGCCAATGGGAGTGAGTATCTAGAAGCCGGCCTGTCCCATGACTTTGATGGCTAGAAAAGACCTCAGAATACAACACTCCTCTGGTCCCCATATTCATTTCAAACTGGTACTGAAATATCCGATCTTGGTAGCCCCCAGCCTCTTAGAATGCTGAAAGCCATAGCTTGACCACCTGACTGTCAGTAAGTTCCTCATGATGTCTAACTGACCTTCTAGAGCTGCTATTTGGCTAACGTGGACTAAGTTACCACCACGAACCAAGCACAGCCATAGCCCTGTGCACGCATCACTGCATGTGACCATAGAGTTGCCAGTGCCCTATTCTATACACGAGGAATTATAGCACAGAGAGGGTAAGCAAGCTGCCTAGGGCACGCAGTTACTGAGTGACTGAGTGGCATCCGAGCCGAGGCTCAGAATCCTGGTCTATGCTGCCTCTGGAGAGTGACCGCTCCCCATCCTTCTGCCAAGAGGAAAAGAGCAGGGCTTCCCCACAAGAGCATATCCTCTCAGGGACGAGATGTTCACCTGCTTTGGGGTCCCTACGAACCTTCTGTGCCCCTAGGAATCTAAATTTACAAAGTTCCAATATTAGCCTGAGGAGCAGCCTCCCAGGTGGCCCCAAGCCCCCTTCAGGTGAAACAGGACATCAGGTATCCAGTCACCCAAAGCCCAAATCCTCCTATTTCTGGTCTTCTTTCCATTTTGCCCTCTCCCCCTTGCTTCTCTCATATCCAGTGAGAACTCAGACACGTACAGAGGCAGAGGCGTAGGGAGTCTGGTCACAAGCTCCAACCTGCAGGTAAGTCGAGGGAGCCACTTCTGTCCTCTGCGGGGCACAAGTCTGCAGCGGTAGGGAGAGGGGGGACACCTCCAGTCTCGCCTCTGAAGTCAGCTGTTGCCACAGACTCCTTGGTCCAGGCTTGCAAACGAACGCCCTTACTCTAGCAGGCTAGCCTCTGCCCACTGGAGCATGAAGTTCAGACACCCCAGGTTGGCACCCTTGGCCACTGTGTGCCCTGATGCCACAGCCCACGGCCCCTCCCTCCCACCCCTGCACTCTTGAAGCAATCTCCTCCATAGGTAAAGCATGGCTCACCTACTTTAATTTTAAATGGCCAAAGAATTTTGGTTCAAGGACTGTTAAATCTGGGGCCTGTGTGTGGCAGAGGCAAATGGGGCATGACAAAGGTGCAGAACTGTCACAGAGACACAGAGAAACCGAGTCTCACACTCACGGCTGGGATTTCCTCAGATCCATGCCAGCAGCAGTGCTCGGCCCCAGCAGGTATGTCACTAAACCTCTTCAGGTACCACCGCAATGCCTGGCTTTCTTGCTTCAGCAGGAGGCTCCAGAGGACCCCAGATTCCATCAAAGATTCCATTGCATCCACGGCTGCTCCTCCAATGTACCCGGCGCCTTGAGCTCTGACTCCCAACTGTCCTCACAGGATGAAAACAATCAGTCTCGCCTGGACTGAAGGCAGATGGGTGACCTCTCACTTCCTGGCAGAAGGTCTGTATGGTCCTGAATGATGTTCTTTCCCCTCCTAGGGCTGTGTTTCCAGAGCACAGCGTCACAGGTGAGAGGATGTGGTCAGCATGGTTCTTGGGACAAGCTGGCTAGCCAGTCTCTCCTTTGTCCTCCTCTTCTGGTCTTGGGGCTGAAGGTAGGCTAGAAGGGGTGTGGCCACACACCTCCTCCTGGTCAGTGCAGACAGTCACCCAAGAGACCTGGAAAGGCCTGAGGATGCAGACGACATGCAGGTGCACACAGCCAGCAGAGGGCTGTGCAGGGCAGGCCCCTGGGTGAACAGCCAGGCTTCGCAGGAAAAGGATGAGCCACAGCCAGGTCCAGGGGTCCAGCCCCACCGTACTTACATGTGGCAGAGTGACATATAGTTGGTCTGAAGCACCAGAGGGAATCGAATGCCCAGCTCCCCAGTCCCAGTCTGTCCCGTAGAGTGGCACGTTTAATCAATGTGCAGTCTCTACCCAGGGCGGGCAATGGTCACTATGACTCACAGCTCTCACCCAGGCAGAGCGGCCACCACTGGCTGTGGCAACAGGGCCGGCGCTCACCCCCACCCCTACACACACCCCTTTCCCCCAGACCGACCAGCAAATAGCTTCTTTGTTAGAGTTGCCAGTGGCGGGAGGGAGGCAGAAGGCAGGGCGGGTGGGCGGGCAGGGCCTGAGCCCTACACATGCTTCAAGTTACAGGATCTGGGTGATGGTCCTGGCCAATGTCCTCCAGTAACCCCCAGCCTGGCCTGGCCTCCCCAGCAGATGTTTCCTGCAATGGAAAGTTGCTGGCTAGAGCTCCAAGTGGGGGAGGGGAGAGGGCGGTGCCAGGGGCACTGCTGTTATGATGAAATCTGAAATCTGAGACCTGAGACTCAACCAGCCAGGGACTTCTTGGAGACATGCTCTCCCCTCATGGACCCGTCTACCACCTTCACTGCAGCAGCAGAGCAGCAGGGGCACACATGGGAGTCTGGCTGATCTAGTTTCGGATGTGCTGGTGGGCAGACCGCCCAGAGAAGTTGAGGCCAACAGCCTTGGGGTCTGTCCGAGGCAACTCCTTCCTTTCCAGGGACCTTGCCTCACCTTTGGCACAAGCAGGAGGGGGATCTAGGTCAAGAAGATTCCCAGACAGCTGCTCAGACCCTGAGGGCAAAGTAGCAATGCTAAAAGCAGGGAATGTGGCCCCCTGTGAAAAGGAGGCAGCCAAATCCAGAAACAACGGGAGCCAGGCCAAGAGGGGCCGGGAAGGCTCCAGACAGAGAAACTCGGGGCTTGGCTGAGACAGTCCTGGGGCTGGGAAGATGTGGATTCCTGGGAAAAGTCAGACCCTTGACTAAAAAGGGGCAGCTCCCTCCTCCTCCCCAGCTACCTGACCTGGCCAGGGGATTTCTGGCCTGCACTGGATGAAAAATGCTGCCTTTGTCCCAGGAGTCTCAGCACTTAAACTTCAGTGTACTTAAAAATAACCCAATGAACACGTTAAAAAAGGTAGATGCCTGAGTCCCAGCCCAAAGATGCTGATTCAGAGGAACCTTGGTTCTGCTGAGTAAACAGTAGAAGAAAGTAGAGAAAGAATCTAAATCCTCCTCCAAACCCTCTGTTAACAAACCTCCACTCCCCTCTGTAGATGGACACCCCCTGGACACAGCCAACGCT